CTAGGAATTATCTTCACCTCATCAGCTTCTTCAGATGCCGCAACAATTATCCAGTCATCAAAAATTAATAAGATTTTATATAGATGGCTCTCAGGAGTATACCAAATTTCTTTTCTGCTCAATACACAAAATATTAAGATGAAAATTATTTAAATAATCCTTTTACATTTTCACTTGTCACCCAATCCAATTATTTATTCTCCGCGCCGGAGATTTCTCGATCTTGAAAACGCACACAGGAAATGGCATTTCTTTCGAACTTATAATTTTAGATCTCTGGCTGGCTGTATAGCCCGAAGTATAAACTGCATCCGGTAGGTTCTCTCACACTTGAAAACCGGAAAAAAAAAAAAAACGAGATAATGGGACTTAAAATACAAAAGTCCAATGTCCGAAGTGAAAACTTCGCAACAAAACATGTAATTTTGGAAGTAAACTTTTGTGAGGCAGGTCACGGTCCGCGCAATAAGAGCAACGAGAGTTGTTTATTCAGTTCAGTCGGGTGCTTCTTTTTATTTGGTTTATTTTTTATTTGTTAAATTTCATTGCCAACCTGTGATGCCACTACGTTTTTACTCCGAGCACACACGGGCCGGTCTTTACTTTTCCTTTTTTTTTTCTTTTGAAATTTATATGTTGCCTGGGTCGGTCAATGAGACCAGGTTCCTCTTCGGGTTACAAATTAATTATGTATTTGAATCCATGACTCAATAAATCTGTTAGTAGGAGAATATAGTGAACAACCTACTGTCATCTATTAGTGAGAATTAAGTCTAACTGCATATGGGGGCGCCATCTATTAAAGAGATACATAAAACCCTGGCGTTGTTGCCAAAAATACTGGAATTCCGAAAAAAACATATCATTCTAATAAGACACATAGGTATATAATTTTGAAAACCTATATGTATACATTTTTGTGAAGTAGAAAAATTAGGCTTTCTAAAGGACGGCAAAATATACAAGGTGTTTCAATAAAAATAGAGCAGCACATATTTTTATTTCAAAAAATCCTATTAAATTAAGTTCTTCATCACCCAATAAGTTAATGTCATCAGTTTTAGATATTTTTATTAAGCAACAAGCAACAGTTTGTTACAATGGACAAAGAATTTTATTGATCAATGAAGAACTTAAGTACGAGTTAACAGTTCGAGGTTTACCAAGAACAGGTACTTTCGCTCAGAGACGAGCAGTCCTTTGAAATGCTTTGAAATTGGAACGTGAGGGTTCTGTTCAACCACCTTTTGAATCAGTTAGCAAATTATGCTTGTGCGGTGCGAAATTATATTCAGTGGAGCGTGACATTTTAAATTTCGATGATCTAACTTCAGAAAAATTAGCACACTTCTTGAACACATTAAATCCAAAATAATTCGAATACTGCCCGACACTAATACTGATCAGATCAGACTCTGAAGAATAATTTATGGGAACGCTTCAATAATCTATCCCAACAGTTAAATGCAAAATACACGGACAGTTGTCAACCGGTTTCTCCCGAACCTGAGGTATCCAAGAGTTTAATTTCCTTAGATGACAGGCATAAATCAAGAGGTTTCTGATCCTCTCATCCACGAACCTCGTTCTAATTGTAGATTGGTTCCGGCTCCTAGAATTAAGAAAAAATCTTGAGACTATTCTAATTTTCTGGATGCCAGATCAAGTGGTCACCCCTATTCAAACGACCCTTTCGATTTGTCTAGGAATACCTTGGAAGCTCCGAACAATAATTTTGCATCCCATCAGTCACTCCAAGTCGATCACAAATCTCAATCTCGAGCTTTGTTTCGACACACATTCGACGCATTCTGTGCCTATTCCTCGAACGGATAATCCCCATCATTCTCTGATAGACGCTTCCCTTGCGGACTTACCAAGTCCTCGCCAGCATTCGTACCCACATCTACTGCACTTTATGTTGCCTCGACCTCCAACAGACATTCTTGGTTACCCTCGAGTCATCGTTACTCCAAGACAGGGATAACACATTTGTGATCCCCAATCAAAGACCTTCTGATGGCATCAGACAAACTAGGAATCAAAAAATGCCTTCCACTGAAGCCAGTGATTCTCGTGTACGATTTGCTGAGCCCGAAAATTTGGCTTTTCAAGCAAATTCCACTCAACATGAAACAATTGCACCAACTGATCCAGTTCCAGGTTTTGCCAGAAGAACAGAGAAATTGCAATAGAAGACTCTATTCAAAGATTTGTATTCCTCCAACCAACTATAGACATTTAATCAAACCAGAATTAGCCTACCATAAGCCCAGCTATAACGTAAATGCCGTAGAATTTTTATTAAGGTTGACGCAGTATCAAATTCGACAAAACTTTCTGTTGGAACTGTAGCAGGTTAGGTCACCGATTAAACCAATGTGAATAGCCGTTTCTGCTACAGTTTCGGTAAAAGTCATGCTACGTCTAGGTCCTGCTTGCATTGTTCAAACAACGAACAGAAGGTGAGAACTTAGGCCGGGCGTCTTGCCTCAAGTAACAACTAATGAGGCCACCCTTTGATCTCAGATTTTATTGGACTAAATTCTTTCTCATGCCAAAGACTAAGAGCGGCCCTATTTGACAGTTGGTGTTTTCGGTCTATCAACGTACTGGCAGATTTCAATTAATGAGGAATCAAAACCTCTATCCCGACACGCGGTTTATTTTAATTTAGGCGTATGCCGTTTGGCTTATCTAACGCGCCAGCTGTTTTTCAGTGGCTGATCGATCGCGTGATTGGTGTCGAGATGGAATCCTGAATCTTCGTCTAACTTGATGACGTAATCTGCATAAGTACATACATTCGAAGAATATATTGAGGTCTTACGTGAGGTCATCAATTGGTTGATTCGCGCTAAATAAGGACAAATGCGTTTTCTACAAGCCAGAAATAAAATATCTGGGATACGTGGTGAATTCTTCGGGACTTCTGGTCGATTCTAATAAGATAGAGGCTATTCTTAACATCCCTACCCCTAAATCAGTAACTGGGATTAGGCAAATCATTGGTATTGGCGCTTCGGCCCTAATTTTTCGACTCTTATAGCGCCCCTTAGTGCCTTGACAATGAAGTATGTCAAATTTATCTAGGATGATTCTTTCCTTTTGCACGATCAAAGAACATTTAGTGTATTGTCGTGTCCAGATTTCGACAAACCCTTCATCGTTCAATGTGATGCGTATGATTTTAGGCTTGGTGTTGTGCTAAACTAAAAAGATATATGACGCATGTGATATGTTATCTGAGTCTATCGCTCACCAAGAACGAACGAAAGTACACAAGTGCCTTACTGTTCTGTTTGCAATCGAGAAGTTGCGCCCTTACATTGAGGCATTAAGGGTGATTACTGACAGTAGGAAGTATATAGGCGTTCTGGGCCAAAACAGAAACGAGACAAAGAGATACTTCCCTTACCACCCAAGATACAACCATCCCCCTACCACACCCTCTGTGGATCCCTATCCCAGCTACGGTCGAAAGAGACACACATAGCTACCCTAACCGCGGCCTGTATCTCCCTACCGGTCACTTAAGATACAACTATCCCCCTTCAGCGGCCTGTATCCCTCTAACGGGTCACTTAAGATACTACACACAACCATCCTCATTCCGCACTCTGTATTCCCCTATTGTGCTCTCAAAATAGTATTCACAATCTGTAGTCCAAAGGTACAGGTAAATTTATTACCTTTCCCTATCAAAAAGCATTGAAAGGTGATAAATTTTACCTGTACCTTTGGACTACAGATTGTGAATAGATAATAAAGTATCCTTCCATACCTGTAATTATCCCCCTAGTTTCGATCTCAAGCAATCCCCTTTCCAAGGGTCAAGTGAAAACCAGCTAAACCAGCAAAATCCAGAACAAAATCAACTGAACCATCAAAAAAACAGCAAAACCAGTGAAAACCAGGAAAAAAACAGCTAAACCAGCATAAAACCAGCAAAATCCAGCATAAAATCCAGCACAAAACCAGTGAAAATCAGCACAAAACTAGCAAAATTCAGAACAAAACCAATAAAATCCAGAACAAAACCAGCAAAATCAAAAACAAAACCAGCAGAATTCAGTACAAAATCAACATAAAACATAGGGGGATGGTTGCGATCTTAAGAGGTAGGCGGATTTATGGATCGCAGGGGATGGTTGTATCTTCAGTGGTAGGGGGAGTGTCTCTTTGTCTCCTCTCTGTGTTGGCCCAGAACGCCTATATACTCCCTACTACTGACCACTATAGTCTTATAATAGGCCTATCGCTAACAGCAATGTGATTTTGAAATCATCCATCGCAAGGGTAAGGACAATGTCGTTCTCAAGAATATTCTGTATAAAACCGACAAAAGTCATACCTTAGTACTTAGTATTTTTTGAAGAAAACAAGTAAGAGCAGTATTTTGAAAATTTTGAAATCAAAAGATGAACGTTAGGAGCTCATTATACTGAAATTAAAAACTAATCCAGTGAAAATAACTAATTACCTATCAAATAAAAATCTACTATTTTAAACAGATAAAAGTCGTACCTTAGTACCTATCTTTCTTTGTTTTTGAAAAAACAAGTAACGGGGAGAATTTTGGAACTTTTTGAAGGAAGATTATACAGAAATTTGAAACTAATCCAGTGAAAATATCTAAAGAATATCCATTAATTTATCAAAGAAAAGTCTAAGTTACTATTTAAAACCGACAAAAGTCGTACCTTTCTTGGTTTTCTGAAAAAACAAGTAAGAGGTATTTTGGAAGTTTTAGAATGAAAACAGCAAGAAAGCTTTTGAAACTGATCTAGTGGAAAAAAAATAAAATAAAAGACAATCCATTTATTCTACTACAGGAATGTTCACTGTACTACTTAAAACCCATAAAAGTCGTACTCCAGTACCATCATTTAAAGCCTTTGCCGGGCTTAAAGTATTATAATCTTGTTTTTTTTTTGCACGCAGACGACTTGCAATTTTTGGTAGAAACACTTTCAATGTCATAATTAAAGGATATTCAACGTGGTTCAACCTCGTAAAACCTGTTCTCTCGGGTGGGTTAGTACCCAAATGCCATTCGGTCGGGTACCTTCCAGCAGGTACTCGGCCCCGTAGTCTGTATGTGCATGCGATGAAATTGATTTTTGCGTTCGGAATTTTTTCATATTATTAACTTTGAATACAAAATGTCAGAATCACTAACAACTGTTATGTCATTTCTGACAAATTCACATTATTGACAAAAAAAAAATGTCTCAACTAAAAACCCTTATAATTCTTTTGGGCCTTTTAAGCCTATCAAGTGCCTTTTTGATTAATGGTTACATACATTGCGATGGTACTCAAGACGAGTCAATTCAAGCCGAGCTGATTTTCAAAAACATTTCGATCCCCCTTGACTCTAATGGCCATTTCCAACTGGAAGTACCAGACAACACTTTTGTGTTCTTCCGGATTTTGCACCCTGGTTGCCATTTTGAGACCTCACTGTTGGAAACTTATCCTGGATGCAAAAGGAACTATCATTTTCAAGGGATGAAGAAGAGTTTGTGGACAAGAAAAATGGTACTGCTAATGGCGGTGGTTTTCAATTTGGTGGTACTCGTCACAGGATGTTTGCTGTGGTGGTTTAAAGATCCAATTTTGAAACTAACCAATCGAGATGGTATAAATTATGCTGAAGCTGGAAAGGAAAATGTTTAGGAATTGTTTGTAGTATTTTGAATAAAATTGATTTTGTTTGTAGCAATAACGCATATCATTATCAAATCCCAATCATCGTCGTGTGCACTTTTTCCCAGTTTCCAGGCGCCCAGGAAAAAATCGATGTCCTCCCTCGTCAGGGGGGTAGGAGGTTAAATACGAGGGGGAGGTGGTGGGTCGTGTGCACCCCCAGAGCAGGAGGGCTCTAAGCGATGCAACGGCGCGAATTTCCCGTTTTTTGCTGCAGCAACAAACCCCCTTTTGCTTTTTGCCTTTTGGCGATTCCGCGCGAACGACAGGAATTTTATGCACTTTTGATTCCGATGCCGGATTTTTGCTCGCTGCTCCGCCGAGATCCAGTCAAAGGGTATACGAATGCGGTCTTCTGTTTGCGAGAGAAAAAAATTGGATGGAATCATGAAATATTGAATTTTGAATGTCGCGGGCAAAGTGGAAGGGAAAAGGAAAAGTTTTGAATTATACCCAGGCGGAAGTTGAGTCGAGTGTCTGATGTCAATTGTCTACTTCTTCTTCTAAACTGGCATTAACTACCTTAGGGCCAGTTTCTCAATAGCGAGTCACCTCCGGGTTGGGTTTAGCTCCAGGATGAGCGAGTTTTTATGTTTACCCTGGAGTTATGCTTAACCTGGAGAGTGACTCGATATTGAGAAACTGGCCCTTGATAAGGTACACATACAGAACAGGCTCTTCTTTTTTTGTTCTGTCATTTTAAATCTCAGACTACAATTATTCGCATTCGGTGGTACGCTACACTAATGATCTGTAGAACATTACGACGAATTACCATTGTCATTTACAACTATATACATCCTATTATAGTAGTTGAATTTTTGCTGTCAATCACCCCTACCTAGTTTATTGTTCTTTTCCAGCTTTTCCCAACTTTTTTTAGAAGTGTTGTCCTTCATTTCTTACCTTCTGTTTCCTTAACAGTTTTTTTTTTTTTAGTTTTTCTCCGATTTTTTCGGTCTCCTTTCCAACTTGAGCGGGAAATATTGAGAAACAGCTAGAGGAAATTTGAGAAAAATTGGGAAAACATTGTTGGAACAGTAGACATTGTTTTTAACTCAAACTCTCAAATTTTTAATCTGCAGACCATTCAAGAGTCGAGAATAAATAAAAATTGAGGAATCATTACCATTTTTCTTACTTCACCGAGTCCCCACTGTCTATTTCTGTTTCTTCTTCTTTCTCTGAATATAAGGCTCAAGTTCAGGACTCAAGATGATATCAACCAGAGTTGTCATAAGTACCTACATTACCAAAGGACTTGGAGTACAAGTACAAAGTACCTACCTACTCAAGGTTTCGTACAAGGGATTGAAGTACAAAGCACATATGTTTCTCAAATGTACTCCAATTACCAAATACTTAAAAAAAGTACTTGATTTTTTCAGAGTTCTTAACTCGAAGTACAATTGAAGTATTTCAAGTAGGTGCTTCGATTGTACTTCAAATATATTAAAATAGCGTCTTTCTCATAAATATAAAACATAAAACATGGAATTTTTTCATTTATTATCGAGTTTATTACCTATTTTTCTTGGAACCTTTGTCAAAAATTAACCAACAAGCAGCCTCTAATGTCTGTGTTACCTACTTAAAATATTTAAAAATATAAAGTACTTTAAATCGAGCATTGACACCCCCACACCTATCTTACCTGTTTGAACAGATAGCCAGTGGCGGCCCGTAACTATTTCAAGTGAGAAGGCTAAAAAAATCACGAATTACGGTAAGGTAACTACTGCGCAGCAGACAACATTTGTTTTCGGTTGCTCATTGCTCATGCCCTCAATAATTTATCTCAAATTCAATAAAAACCATGAAAACCATATAATATAGTATATTGTGTATTCAGGTGGAAAAGTGACACATTCTCGGCCGACGGTGTAAGTTGACGGGCGAGGCGTAGCCGAGTCGTCAAATACCGAAGGCTGAGAATGTGCTTTTCCACCGAAATACACATACTATTTTTTCTGCGATCGGTTAAATACCTGTTAAATGTTTGTCTTTTAGTTCCAATTATTTAGCAGTACGAGAATCACTTTCTCGGCCTAGGCCGGAAAAGCGTTTCCCGTATTGTTTTTCATTGATTCCTTAGCAACTATTGAAATATAATTGAAATACTAGAATATTGAGTTTTGCGACCTGCCTTTTAGGTGATTTTGGATCATTTTAGGAAATTTAGAAACGGGTTTTATGGCGTTTTTACCAACTAATTTAGGAGAGTCCTAATGATAAATATTCCATGGGAATTCTGCAAAAATTTTTGTTAATTCCATAGAAATTCCTCAGAATTTCACTAGAAGATTTTATGGAAATACTTGAAATTCCATTCAAATGACAAATTTGAATAGAAAAACAGGAAGTCCCAGAAATTTTATCCTAAGTTTTCATAATACTTTTCCGAATTCCATCATAAAATTCAATGGAATTCTTGTACAAAAATTCCTCGGAATTACAGTAAAAGATTTTATGGAAATTTCGACAGAAATTACTCAAAATTTCACTAAAATTTAATTCAAGTTTTCGGAATTTTTCGTGGTTCCATGGAAATTTCACGGAAAATTCTGGGGGAATTTTTCGGTTTCGATATAATTCCACTGGAATTCCAAAATAAGATTTCAAGGAATTCCATGTAGGTGTTATTTTACGACTATTCCTTGGAATTGGAATATTTCCGGAAATTTTGAAAAATTTCGTCTTTAGCCAATTTTTTTGAACAAAAACATTCGTGCAGGCGCTATGCACTCATGATTTTGTTAAAAAATTGGCTTCAGACAAAATTTTCAAAAATTTCCGGAAATATTTTATGCACTAGTTATATTACTACTGGAAATATTTTTCAGGAATGTTAATGATTTTATTTTAAATATTTCCGATTTTTGATTGGCTCCAATTTATCCGCTGACCAATAGAATTATAGACTGGGGGGCCCCGAGATTAAAATAACTCTAGCCCTTCGGGCTCGCGTATAACTCCGGCCCTTCGGGCTCGCGTATAACTCCGGCCCTTCGGGCTCGCGTATAACTCCGGCCCTTCGGGCTCGCGTATAACTCCGGCCCTTCGGGCTCGCGTATAACTCCGACCCTTCGGGCTCGCGTATAATTCCGGCCCTTCGGGCCGGAGTTTTATTCGGGCTCGTTTTTGGGGGAAGTTTAGCCTCCCCTGCCTCCTCTGACGAGCCGCCACTGCAGATAGCCAAAAATGTCAAATGTGAAAGTTATAGGTAATATTAGAAACTTTGCAATGAAGTAAGTTACAAGTATACAGGGTGTGTCATAAAGGTTTGGTGAAGCAAAGCTATTCTTTTTAAATAGATCACCCCGTATATTATCGACAACATACATTGTTAAAAATAGTTCAAGTACCAAGTATAAGTACCGTTTATCCACTGTACTTCAATTATAAGAACTTGGAGTACAATTTCAAGTGTTTTTCTTGAAGTAGATACTGACCTGACAGCTTTGTTATCAATTATACGTTATCAATATCATATAGCAGGGGCATTAGAGAAACCAAAAGGCATCCTCCTGAATTGAAGTAGTCGCCGTCCAGAAACTGTAAAGGCAAAATTTTCAACTAAAGTTACCTGCCAGAAATCTTGCGAAAAAATTATAAATTATCACTATGATAAGTAAAAATTCAATTCGCCAAGATTTAACATCACCGTTAAAAATTCATCATCTCCTATAAGAAGCGTCGGTTCTTTCGGTACAGCAGCTGCTGGCTTTTCCTGCTGTCAAGGTCAAACGCTGCATGCATATACATACACACATTCGTCCTGCAGCCAACAGCGGCATAATCTAAATTATCGCGTTGCATCTCTTCTGCGAGGGCGATGCCAAACTGTAAGTAGCCTTTATTCCGTACGATTCCTAAAAGGTTTCGGCCTGAAGTTATTTTGCGAATAATGCACCAATGGAATAGGCTCTACTCGAATCTGGTACCACTGACCATATACACGGTACAACGGCAGCACCCCCACCACATCAACCATTCGCTAGTTCTCCATTGGTTTGCTCGTTATATTTTTCCGAAAGTCCCCCTGATCGGCCTTAGCAATAAGGTCAATGTTAATTGCTCCCCAAGAGCCAATCAACTCTTTGGCTAAACTACTATCTTCACGCATCGCGGAGTAGGTACTTATTTTTCTTTTTTCTTCGCTTTTGTTGGATGCTGTTTCGTTTATTTATTAGACGGGGAAATGGTTTTCTTCGTGGCTACCGAATAGGACGATCTATCATTAAACGGCCATAGTATTTGATCTTAACTCCTCTACAAATTAATTATTATTACATTGTAGAATAATTGTTTAATAAGATTTGTGGATTGAGGCAGTTAAGATTTATGAATGGATGCCATGACATAAATTGCAAATTATTATTAAACGCACGCATCTAAATTATACAAGTAGGTACGACATAATAATGCTTATTACTCACTTATAACTGTTAACAGATTAGGGAGGTATTGAGAATATTGATACTTGTATGTTTAATAGCTCTCTATTGCCATTACCAGATCATGCTACAATTTCAGAACTAATTTAACATTAGCAACCAACGCAGGAGCAGAAAAAAACAAAACCACAATTGCATAGGAAACTGTTGCACTCGTAGCACGCAAGTAGTTGAATCGTGATAAAAACCACTATTGAGTTGCATGTCTTAGTTTTTTATAAAAATGATTTTCCAGTGGTTTTTTACCTCATATACTGACCAATGGACAACATCAGAGTGATTCAAGAGTTTCAAATGTTTCATTTGGAAAATTCAGAAAAAGGGTTCTTTACTAATACTCAGCCATAAGCAAGATACCGTACAAAAGGGCTCAACTTCGTGGCAGATTTTTGCAAGGAGTTTTCCCAAATTAGATCACCGGTCTCGTCAGGGTTTCATTATAAAAAGCTTTAATTCAGTTGAATGTATTCCTTGATTTGGCTTTAGCGGACAAGTGTTTCCATTAGTATGTATAGGGTGTATCAGGTATGAGTACAAATATTTGAACATGAGATAATAT